ATATAGCCCAGGTTTCAGGGTCTAGGGAAGATAATTTGTATGATCTGAGAGCTCCCTTCAGCCTCCTTCCCATCAGCCAGCACTGGGCTGCTGGGCTCCACTGAGCTCCGTGAGCTCCTGCCGCACTTCCTGCCTGATGTGTGCACCATTTATAAGCCTCCTATGAAGAGCCTCCTGTGTGCCACACTCTGCTCTCAGCAATGCGTTGTCTGCCCTCTGAGATGGGGAAACTGGGAATCCAAGAGGTGAAACTATTTCCCCAAGGCCATGTAGCTGCTCATCTCTACCCTCCAGGATCGTTCTGGAGGAAAGACTTTAAATTAAGCGCAGCGGCTGTAATCCTAGCACTTGAAAAGCTAAGGCAGGAGGATTCCCTCTAGCTTGTGGCCAGCCTTGGCTACCAAATATCATCAAGCCTCAACACTCCTACTCAAATAGTTGTGGTGACACATGCCTCTAACCCTAGGCCCTGGGAAGTAGAGGCAAGAGGATTAGAAGTTCAAGGATATCTTTGTTTACCTAATGAGTTTGAGGCCAGTCTGGGCTACATGAGACCATGTCTCAGGGAAAAACTAAAGAAGTAAATTCACAGTAACTGACTATGGTGTGATATTGGTTGGCAATACTGAGACAGTAGCCTGGCAGCCAGGTGGCCTTCCAGAGGAAAAGGGACATGACACAGCCTGAAAGAAGAGGCTGAACGGACAGTGAGTCAGGCTGACAAGGCCAGGACTCAGGGATTCATCCCTTCTCCACAGTCTTCCTGTCTGCTGGCCTCGAGGTACTTGCTCCTCCAGAGACCTATCCTCCTCCTGTGACCAGCACCAGCTGGGAGTCCCGGCTGGGGACACTATTCCCCTCAGGTTCCTGCACCATGTCCACAGAAGTCCAAGCCATGGCAGAGCCCACTGGGCAGGGCCCCAAGAATCCACGTGTGTCCAGCGTGGTGGTGCAGCTGGAGATGAAGCCACTGTGGGAAGAATTCAACCAGCTGGGCACAGAGATGATTGTTACCAAAGCGGGCAGGTGTGGGCATGGAGAGTGGAGACTGGGCAGGGGCTGGGGGGTAGGGTGTCACCATGCTGAGCACCCCATTCCCACAGGAGGATGTTCCCAACCTTCCAGGTGAAGATCTTAGGCATGGATACACTGGCTGACTATGCTCTGCTCATGGACTTCATCCCGCTAGATGACAAGAGATACAGGTCTGGACCTGGCAAGGGGACAAGAGTGCGGAGAACAGGAGCTTGACCCAAAGGGCAGGCAGGGTGAGGTGGAGCCCCTGAGTCCATGCCAGGGGGGCCCAGCCTAGAGCAATAGGTCTTACGGAGAAGAGGGAATGGGCTAGCCTGAGGCATATGAAATTAAAAAACAAAGGATGCCCATCAAGTGGACTGAGCATGACAGGGTGGGAATCAGCGTCTCACTGTCACCTTGGCTAGACATGGCACTGAGTAGGGCAGGAACAGCCCCTGACCTCTCGCTCTGCTCGCCCAGGTACGCCTTCCACAGTTCTGCCTGGCTGGTGGCGGGCAAGGCCGACCCTGCCACGCCTGGCAGAGTGCACTTCCACCCTGACTCGCCAGCCAAGGGTGCCCAGTGGATGCGGCAGATCGTGTCCTTTGACAAACTCAAGCTGACCAACAACCTGATGGATGACAATGGCCACGTGAGGCATAAGCCACTGGGCCATCTGGGGAGGGACTGAGCACGTTGTAGCAGGTTGGGACTGGGACTGTGATAAAAGCCTGGCAGGGCTGGTGTGGTATTTGCATGGATATCTAATGGAAAAGACACACGAAGAGGTGAGAGGGGAAGCAGTTTGAAGCCTAGGGGGACAGCCTGAGCAAAGGTTCTGAGGCCAGAAAACACGCAGTGAGTTGAGAGACTGCAAGGAGACTCCCAGTGGGACTGGAGTAAAGACAAGGACAGCAGTGGGTAGGCTGTCCCACAGGGCCAAGTGAACCTAGGCTATAGGGGTTAGAGTGTGGAGAATGGGTATAAGAACAAGGTGCGGAGGCAGGGAGGCCAGCCAGGAGGCAGCTGAGGAGATTGGGAAAAAGATGACCAGGGATGTTACAAGGTGTTGGGTGGAAAAGGTGGTCAGGTCCTACATAGCTCTCAAGGTAAAGCTACTGGTGGACAGTGGGCAAGAAGAGGGTTAGAGAGTCCTGGGCTGACGGAGGGAGGCTGCCACAGCCCCGCCCCTGCACTCGGCCCCGCCCTCCTGCAGATCATCCTCAACTCCATGCATCGCTATCAACCCCGTTTCCACGTGGTCTTCGTGGACCCACGCAAGGACAGCGCCCGCTACGCCCAGGAAAACTTCAAGTCCTTTGTCTTCACGGAGACCCAGTTCACAGCTGTGACAGCCTATCAGAACCACCGGGTGGGTCATCCCACAGCTCCTGAGGACCAGCCCAGCTCTGAGGGGCAGAGACTGAGGCTGGAGGTGCCTCTGTCCCCTGGATATCTGCCTTTCTGCTAGCACTGGAGATCCTGGGCCAAGGGGGTCTCGGTCCTGCTGACTGGAAGTTCCCAGGGGACAGAGTGACTAAGTGTGGGCTTCCAAGGCTCAATGGCTGGAGCCCAGTCCACATCTAGACTTTCCCTCTGTAGATCACACAGCTGAAAATTGCCAGCAACCCCTTTGCCAAAGGATTCAGAGAGGCTGACCAGGACTCATGGTATCATCTCACTCCTACCTTCTGTCTCTAAGCCCAGCTCTGCCCTGCCCCTCCACCCCTCCATCCCAAGCAGCTCCTAAAGCCTTCACTCCTGACCTGCTTCATGGTCATGTCCTCTAGTTTGCCCTGGGATCCCCTATTTGACTCTGACCATAACATCTGGGGTGGGGGTGACCATAACATCTCCCTTGGCCTCCTACCCCATTCCTGCTCGCCCTATCTTCAGGCCTGTGACCCCCAGGCCACTGCTCAGCATCCCTGCCCGGAGTCGGAGCAGCCTCGGTCCCTGCCTGCTTAAGGGCTCTGCAGAAAGAGAGAGAGGTGAGGACCTAGCCCAAACCCCAGGCAGGCATATAGGCCTCCAGGGAGGGGCTTTGCCATGATCAGAAACATCCTCACCCCCGACCCATACCTGGGCTGGAAGGCACAAGAGAGAGCAGGGCAGGGACAGGGTTTAGAGCAAAGGAGGGGTGCCTGCTGGGCTTCCTGGAGGAGGTGGATCCTGAAGGCAATGGAGCTTGAAAGCTCAGCTTGGGACTGGGAGACAGTTGGATAGAGAAGGTAAGGAAGAAAGTTCAGGCAACGAACAAGGGCAAATACTACATAGGCCAAGATGCGTGGCCAGGGACAGGACAGACGAGATAGGCCTCAATATTAGGACTGGGGATGTGATGGGAAATCTGCGGTCCACTCAAATCATTTTCTTCCTCAGACACCAGTAAAGCTTCAGCTTCCAGCTCCAGGACCCCTATTCAGCCACACCATCAGCTGCTGCCTGCCCCGGATATCCTGCTGGCCCCTGCCACCTACAGACCCCTCCCTTACCAGAACCTGTACCCTGGATCCCCAAGCCACGCTGGGACCCCAAGAGCTCGGCTGGCACCTTACCCTCTCCCCAACATCAGCACTGTTGGAGATCAGGAAGACTCAACCCTCGCAGCTGGGCTGGGGCTCCTGCCCACCTCTGCCTTGTGCTTGGTGTCTAACCAAGACTCCCAGTGATGGCTAGGTGCTGTGGAAGCCCCTTTACCCTGTGCCCCACCTGTCCTCTGTAGAAACATCTCCTAAGGAAAGCAGCACAACTGGAAGCCCTGGTGGCAGTGGTTCCTGCCTCAAAGTCAGTCTAGGGCCTGCCAGCCTTGGAATCAGGCCCACTTCCTACTCAAAAGCCCTGAATCCCGCCCCTGCCTCGAGGGTGACTCCTCTAAACCCTGCTTCTATTGTCCTCCCCCACATTAAACTGCTTGGTAACAGCAGTCACAGTACTTCTGTCCATAGGAACTCCCAGACCAGACAGTCCCATCACCTCAGAGCACAGAGTGATGATAACTGACCACAGCAGCAAGGCTGCGGTTAACCTGGTGTGTCCCCTATTTTGTGCACCTATATAAGGATGGAAGCAGCACTGAGAGGTTTCGGCTCACAGTCACACAGCAAAGTACAGCTGACACTCGCCATTCCATTTGAATGCGATGCTCTAAAGCTGGTCCTGAGGGCCAAGGGCCATCGAAGTGAGCCTAATATGATAGACAGGGATCACACAGGCCAAGGTAGGGATGGGTGTAGACTTGGACAGCTGGAGGTAAAAGGCCACCTTGAAGTCCTCTCGGTAGAGTCTAGTGGGATAAGATTGAGGGAGGCGCGTATTCTTCGTTCTCTTGGAGAGAACACCCTGAGGTACCGGAGGACTCCAACTCTGCTCTAACCCGGAGCTCTTCCTGTGAGACATTCAGGAAAGCACCGACACCCACGAGACGAGAGACAAGGAGCCCAGAAGATCTTCCAACTCCCGAACCCGAAGTCAGGACCTATTCAATTCAGGTTATCCAAGGGTTCCGGAAACACAGAGTCCAAACCAACTGTGCCGCACTGATAGCGAAGTCACGCCCCCGGAAAGAAATTCAAGCGAAGCTGGCCGGCTTTTCCGGACACGCCCTCCATCAGCTCTAGGCCATGTCTTTCCTTTAGGTGGCGCTCTTGTCCCTGTACACAAAACCGCCTCTGCCCTCACCTAGCAAGCTCCGCCCCAGATGCCCCAACCCCAATCACCTCTGTCGCCCAATAGCAGCAAAACCCGCCTTAAGCCACACCCCGACGGTCTCCGAGGCTCTGCCTCAGCAGGCCTCGCCTGGAACTCCTCCGAGGTCCCACCCTAGCAGCCTCGTCCATCTCGGAGACTCTATCCCGACAGGCCCCGCACCGCCGGCCTCTGAGGCCTTGCAAGGGCAGTCTCAAGCCCGTCCGCCTCTCATACCCGCTCCGGGAAGCCACGCCTCTCCGAGGGCACGCCCTCTTCCGGCTCCCACTTAGGGCCCCGCCCCGCGCCGGAGCTTGCGCCCTGTCACGTCCCCTCCTTTGTGGGCCCCCTGTGTCCCGGACGTCTGGGACATGCTGCCTGATTGCTTGTCTGCGGAGGACGAGCAGCGCTGCCGGCAGCTGCTAGCACGCACCACTGCCCGGCTACGCTCGCGGCCCGCGGCGGCCGCAGTGCTTGTGCCGCTGTGCCTGGTGCATGGGGTCCCGGCGCTGCTCTACACGCTGCGCTCTAGTCGCCTGGTTGGGAGTCACAAAGGGGAAGTCAGGTACGCCGGCCTTGTCGGCGCACTACCTGTAGCCCGCATACCCCTCTGAATTTTCCCCTTCATAAACAGGACTCTGCCCTTTACCATAGACTGGAGAGAGGAGATCCGGGGTTCCCCTTCTTTGGCTTTGCCCTCAGCTGAAATTGAGGACACCCGGGGACGATATCTGCACCACTAGGACACCATAGGCAGACATGGGGTGTCTGAGCCCCAGCATAGTCTTAGCCAGCTGCCAGACTTCATGTATCTCTAGTGCCTGTCCCCCTTACTTGAATGGCCCAGGGAGGTAAACTGCCTCCTGATGGCCTGTAGTCCCAAGACTCCCTCTGCCCATTTAGTTTCCCAGGCGGTAAGTGTGATCCCGACGACCAAGATGTAATACATACGGCCCTTCGGGAGACTCAGGAGGAGCTGGGCCTAGAGGTGTCCAAGGAGCACGTGTGGGGTGTCCTGCAGCCAGTGTATGACCGGGTGAGCCACCCTTATCCTGTCACACTCACTCAGTAACCCAAGTGACTGGGTAAGCCAGCCCTGCTCAGTTCAGGACAGGGTCCAGGAAAGCTTGCAAGGTAGGCTGTGTTGATCGGGCTTGAATGACAAGTGGGAGATTTCCGGATAGTACAGGTAAGGGGAACCTGTGAGGCAGCATGGCAAGAAACCAAGGACAGGGACTAGAGGGGCTTGGCCACGACTACCCATGGCCTCTGGATGGCAGAGTAGGAACTGGTTCTCCTTCTAACTGTTCACCCTCCTCCTACCCCAGAAAAAGGCAACCATAGTCCCGGTGCTTGCCAACGTGGGTCCACTGGATCTGCAGAGCCTCAGACCCAACCCTGAGGAGGTGAATGGGGGATACTGGGGACTTGGGCTATTCTACCAGGGGATTCACAGGCAGCCTTCTGTCCACCCTCTCTCTGTCTCTTGCCCATAGGTGGATGAAGTATTTGAGCTGTCTCTGGCACACTTGCTGCAGACACAGAACCAAGGATATACCCACTTCTGCCAGGGTGGCCACTTTCGCTACACACTGCCTGTCTTCTTACATGGACCACACCGAGTCTGGGGCCTCACAGCCGTCATCACTGAGTTCACCCTGAAGCTGCTGGCCCCTGGCATCTACCAGCCCTCCCTGGCTGTCCCTGAGCTGCCTAGGGGTTGAGGCCTGCCTGGCCCTTAAGTGCCTCTGCCTTCATTTGGCCAGGCTACTCCAGAACTGATTAAAAGACTGTTTGACAATTCTCCTCTGGCATCTTCCGTGTGGAAAATGAAACATGGGGCATGGTAGCAACCCTTGTAATTCCAGCACTGGGGAAACAGACAGATGGATCTCTTGGGGCTGCTGGCCAGCCAGTATGGGCTACTTGGTGAGACACAGGCCAATGAAAGACCCTGTTTCAAAACAAACAAATAGAGGCTGGTGAGATGGCTTGGTGAGTGAAGGTACCTGCCACTGTCACAAAGCTTGATCTTTAAGACCCACATGGCAGAAGGACAGAACCGACTCTCTGACCATGGCATGCATGCTCACGTATGTACATACATACACAGAATACATGTTTAAGAGGTGAAAGGAGCCAAGCATGTGACACACCCCTGTAGTTCCCACACTCCAGCCGTGGAGACAGGAGGATGGAGAATCCAAAGCCCGCTTTTTACTTGGGTTACATAGTGAGACCACGGTGTGGTCCATGTCTCAGAAACCAAGCAGCTATTGTGGAGCAGAAGGGAAGGGACGCTGGGCAGCTCCTGACAGTGAGCCGCCCTGCTCAGAACACCTCAAATACTGTGACCAATGGCGAGGGTGAAGGGCAGTCAAGTAAAAGGTACAGCCTGGGAAGTGGAAGAAAGGAGCCATGTGGAGATGGAGTGAGAGGGCAATTCCACCATACAGAGAGCCACCATAAGGCCAAGGGGACAGAACTGGGAGGGAGACAGAGGGACATCACTGCTTCGATTGTATTCCCAGCCAGAGGACAGGACAGGAGTGTGGCATGACAACCAGCTGGTTTCTTTGAAGGGACTAGAATGTAGGGTCCTCCCAGCTGCTGTACCCACTTCTACAGGAGGACCCCATCCCTTCACACCTCCACAGTCCCCTAACCCTTCCTCCTCCCTATCCATCCCCCCCGCCCCCACATTTCTGCCCTTCTCACCTATTTCCTCTCCTGCTTATCCCACAACACAGCCCTTTGTCACCTCCGGCCCTGCAGCCTCCTTACCCAGCAGTAGGACCACATGATGGTGGTAAAAATAGCTCCTTTCAACAGAGTGTGAATGGAGGGGGCAGAGGCAGGAGACAAGGCTGGGCCCCCAGTGCTAGGGAAGGGCCCTTGGGAGGGAGGTGTGAGCTCCTGATCCCCTCCCTGCTCAGTGGCACACTTGCTCAGATGGGTCACCTCAGTCTCAGGCTCTGTCACCCTAAATATACACCTAGAGCCAGCAGCAGCAAAGCAGTGTGACACAGCTCTCAAGAGGTAAGGATCCCGGGTGGCTAACTCCAGCCCTGACCTCGCAGGTGAGGCAAGGTGTCCTAGGACTCCTTAGTCTGTCCTAGGGCAGCCTTAGTGATGCCTCTTTATTCCGTCTTGGTGGCCAGGTGTGTGCCCGGTGTTTCCTGTAGGTGGGAGCGTCTCTGAGTCTCTATGTCTGGACCACCATGGCATGTGCAGGGCCAGCCAGTGGGCGGCAGCGGGTGAGCATGCAGGAACACATGGCCATCGATGTGAGCCCTGGCCCCATACGGCCCATCCACCTCATTTCCGACTACTTCCCACACTTCTACCCCTTCCTGGAGCCGGTGCTGCGTGTCCCAGATCGGCAGGCAATGCTGGCCCCGGCCACCTACTCTGCACCCCAGCCGCAGCCCAACCCTGAGCCCGAAGGAGACTCTGATGACAGCAGTAAGTAGGGGAGACAATAAGGGCGCTCTCTAGGATGGGCTCAGGGGTGTCTCTAGCACCCATGGCAGAGGCCAGGCAAGTGGCACTGTGCCATGTGGGACAAATGGGTGTAGGAGTGGGGTGACCATGCTTACCGCCTGCCACCTTAGCTGCCCTAGGCACCCTGGAGTTCACACTTCTCTTTGACTCGGATAACAGCGCCCTGCACTGCACAGCCCATCGTGCAAAGGTGAGAACAGAGGCAGAGTTCCTGGGATGGGACAAGCCACAGGTCTCTCTACATCCATTTTCTGTTTCCAGGGCCTCAAGCCACCAGCCGCAGGCTCTGTGGACACCTATGTCAAAGCCAACTTGCTGCCAGGGGCCAGCAAGGTAAGGATAAGATCCAGGCCCTTAGAGAGCAGGGCCACTTTAGGGTATTATTGATCCTACCTCACCCTACCCTGAGAACTAAATCTCAGTTGCTAGGATCCAAGAGTCAGGGCAGGAGGCCAGGAGGGCGCCTGACTTGCCTTCCTGACCCCAGGCAAGCCAGCTTCGGACACGCACTGTTCGAGGTACCAAAGAGCCTGTGTGGGAGGAGACACTCACCTATCATGGCTTTACTTGCCAGGATGCTGGACGGAAGACCCTGAGGTGAGGACCCAGATCAGGGCACCAGTAGGGAGGCAGGGGTTGGGGCTTGCATGACCAGGACTGACCTGGATGGCCACCAGGCTATGTGTGTGTGAGGACTCACGGCTGCGGCGCCGGCGCCGAGCACCCTACTTGGGGGAGCTACGAGTGCCCCTGAGGAAGCTGGTACCAAACCGAGCCAGGAGCTTTGACATCTGTCTGGAGAAGCGGAGGCTGGTGAGTGGGCTGAAGCTCAAGGTGGGTCTACAGGACCAGGAGCCATGTGGTTAGGAGAGTGGAGGAGGGGTCCTGGACAATATCTACTAAAGTGACCAAGTGCTCTGATTTTTTTTAGACCAAGAGGCTCAAGAGCCTGGACACAGCCCGTGGCATGTCTCTGTATGAGGAGGTGGGTAGTGAAGCTTGACTGAGCAGGTATGGAGACAGACAAGACTTGATAGCCTAGGCTGGGATCAAGGGTGAGATGGGCAGACATCCAGGCCTGTAAGGGCTTAGAGGAATTTGAGTCCAATTCTCTTATAAGTTCTGTGAGTCCTCAAGAACTGCCAGGGTCTCAGGGGCTGGGCAAGGTGACAGTGGCTCTTTTGCTAGGGCAGCCTGGAGATGAGGAAGACTAGGAACAGCCTGCAAAGGTCTCAGACTGTAAGTGGTGCTCGTGGCCAGAGGTGGGAGGATTGGGCAGGTTAGAAGAAATAGGCTCCCAGGTTGCTTGTTGCTACTAGTGTCAGGGCAGTGGATATGTCTGGGTCTGCCTCTCAGGAGGCAATGAAGATGACTTCAGTGCTTACTCAATCCCACCTGAGATCCTGCCCAGAAGCCCCTTTGCCCAGCAGGAAGGACACCTACAAGGCTGGGAGGCAGGCCCTCCACCCGCTCCTGTCAACAGTGTAGGTGCCCTGCCCCCTAGTGGAGCACCAAATGTCTGTAGTGTCTGATGAGCTAAGCTCAAGCCTGTGAGACCCACAGAAATGGTGGACATCACTGAGAACCCTACAACAGTCCCCACCAATCCCAGAACACATGTGTAATCATGCCTCGGCACATACTGCTGGCAGAGCCCTCCTGCAATACCGAACACTGCCAATGGTAAGAAAGTTTGGCTCTCTGCCGTCAATTCTACCCTAAAGGTGGGAAAGAAGGCATCCTGTCCCAGGCCTTCATCCCAGCTGGGGAGCTCTAGTGTCTAAGAATATACAAAGAACATTCCTAAGATGCTCTGCCAGGCAGTGGAAGTGAAGGTGGGCTCAAGAGGTTAAGAGACCTGTCTCTCCGTGATGAGACTCTCAGAGCTACTTCCAATGAAAGGGGACAGCCACTTAGCAAGCCCCTGGCATGGCTGTGATGCTCACCATCAGTTCCCTTACTTGCTCTGACATGAGCAACAAACCCATACCTTTTTTGAGCTCTGGAGGATTCAGATTTCTGAGTGCTACTATAAGGTCTCTTCACTGGGTACTGGGAAAATGGCTACATAGGGAAATAAACTTGACAGCCTGGTTTCTCTATAGCCATTTGTGCTCACACTGGGACCTGGCCTCTGCAGGTGGGGGGCTTCAGACTGGACAGGGTCTGACCACAGCTTACACCTGCAGGAGGAGATGGAGGCAGAGGTGTTTGGGGAGGAACGTGGCCGCATCCTGCTGTCCCTGTGCTACAGCTCTGAGCGTGGTGGCCTGCTGGTGGGTGTGCTGCGCTGCGCCCACCTTGCTCCCATGGACGCCAATGGCTACTCAGACCCCTTTGTCCGCCTGTGAGTAAAACAGGAAGGTGGACATGAAGGATGAGAGGGTCCTTGGCTCTGCAGGACCATGCCTAACCAGCCCCTCTCCCTCCAGTTTCCTGCATCCAGGTTCTGGGAAGAAATCCAAATATAAGACCAGTGTTCGAAGAAAGACCCTGAACCCTGAGTTCAACGAGGTAGGTCACAGCTGGGAGACCCCAGTCAAGTGTGGTCTTGATTTAACAAACCAGGCCCTACCTGAGCCTGTTTCTTAAGCTGCAAAGAACTCACATCTTTCCTGTCCCTTTCCCTACAGGAATTCTTTTATGCAGGTCATCGGGAGGAGCTGGCCCAGAAGGCACTGCTGGTGTCTGTGTGGGACTATGACCTGGGTACAGCTGATGACTTCATTGGTGAGAAGAAACACAGGGTACAGGAGGGAGCCTCACGAGCCTCTGAGGGCTACTAACCCTTCCCTTGGCAGGTGGGGTGCAGCTGAGCGGCAGAGCCAGTGGGGAGCGCCTGCGCCACTGGCGTGAGTGCCTAGGCCACTGTGACCACCGGCTGGAACTGTGGCACCTGCTGGACAGTGTGCCCCCTCAACTTGGTGACTAGTCAGCACAGGGCCCTGCTTGCAAACCAGTTCAGGGGCCAAGATGTCTGCTGCATCTGGAAAGAGCTCTGGGTTGTCCATCTGCTATGCACATTCTTCTCTCCTTCCAGTCATGCAACCCCAAAACACAAAGCAAAATAAACACCTGCTTCTGCCGGCTCAGAGCCTGTCCTTTCCCTAGGAAATGCCTGCCTCTTCTATGTCCTCACCTCACAGGGCAGGCCAGGCCCCTAGTCTCCTGTCTCTCACCCCTTACAGCAGTGATTCTCAACCTTCCTAATGCTATGACCCTTTAATACAGTACAGTTCCTCATGTTGTGGTGACCCTCAACCATAAAATTATTTAATTTCTTCTTCATAACTGTAATTT